AAAAAACCCCAGCCTTGTCCAAACAGCCAGCACTGGCAGGGACTAGGGGACACCTCTATCCTTTTTTTAAACCATGCCTTTGGCTCAGAGCTGGGCTTTCTGCACAGCAGTGAATGTCATACTTCAGAGGCTGAATCTTTACACCTGAACACAAAGTGATTGTTTTAGCAGAAAAAAGGCTGCCAGAAGTATCAGGTATTTGGATTTCAGTCAATTCTTTGGCCCAGAGTCTTAACTTGAGCAGAACCTTACTAAAACAGGATTTCCCAGGAGCTCTGCAGCACAGACTACCTGCAGCAGCTCTGCTGGAAGGCAGCAGGGCTGGGGAGAGCCCTAAGACAAGGCAGCAGGAAGCACTGGGACAGGAGATGGTGCTGTTTATCTGGTAGGTGCTGCGCTGCAGCTAGCAGCCTGTGGCCAAAGAAGGAAAGGTCACTTGGCACATCTTAGCAGGAGACAGGATGGTTAGCCTGGAGCATTGGGAAGACATTCCCGAGAGCAAGAGGCCTTGGTCCAGAGAACTGTTCCGCCCCGTGAGGAATCACACAGAACATTTAAGACGGGCAATGCACCCAGCTCTGTCTCATCTGGGGGTGCATGGGCTGACCTAGTGAGGTGGTGTATCCCTAACTCCTAGGACACCAAGAGTTAACAGAGCCCAGCACTGAAGAGCTCTGGACACACAACACTCGTGATTATCAGAGCCCTGAGAGCCTGTTTTCATCCCTGCCCCTAACATCACCATCACAGTCTTTCTAGCTAAAGGCAGGATCCTTTCCTGGCGAACACCAGCTGGCAAAAGCCTGCTGGACTTCAGGAACAAGGGACGAGACTCGGGAAAAGCCCATGCTTGCTAGGCCAGGCGGGCAGACAGGAAGCCTTGGTGTCTCGGTTAGAGGAGGAATGCAAGCTCTTCTCCCGAGAGGCTTCCACCTGCCCAAGGAACCGCTGGCAACACAAGCGATTAGCCTGGCAAAGCCTCCAACTGTAACGCTGTCTGCGTCTTGCTCACCTCCCACGGGAGCCCGGTCAACAAATACTGAGCCGAGGTCTTCACTGACACTCCTGAAGATCAGACGATGGAGCAGGGAAAGGCAGGACAAATTACTTTCGCTTCAAAGAAAGGAGCACTAGAGACGCTCAGGAGGAGTGGAGCTGTGAGTTTAGTTTAAAAACACATCAATTAAGCTTCCTTTTAATTCAGGAAGGAGGATCTGGCCTGCAAACAGGAAGGCTTCATTGGTTTCTCAAAGCAAGAGTATATTTTAATTTTACAATCATTAAGAAAATGTTATGATTTATGTGGCTGCTGTCGGACTAATATCTTTAGAATTTAGCTGGCTAAGCCAATTCATCTCTAAGACTGATGAAGGCTGATTGCTCTCTATGCAAAATGTATTAAAACTAAATGAGCAGTCTATTACTCAAATGCTGCTGATAATCTGTTAGCCAGGGTCCGTTAGCCGGGCTGCCTTGGTGCAGGAGCGAAGCCTTCATCCCCTCTACAGCTCTGATAAGCCCAAGCTTACTTCAGCAAGCCCCTCTTTGTTCCGTCTTTAGATGGCCAGAGACGCATCGGAGCGCTGGAAGTGGCCTATCACCTGCCCGCATTCCCGAGGAACAAAGCAATCCACAGGGACCACCCATCCCAGCCCACAGCAGAAAGGGCAGCTCTTTGGCTCGAGACGTGTGTGCTGGGATACCTGGTTTCTGCAGGCCGTGTCTCTGTGTTAACGAAAACACCGCTCAGGGCAAACTCGCTGCTTACACCACGGCTCCTGGGATGCTCTTGGTGTTGTCACGGATCGAGTCCTCCGCAGGGGCTGAGGAAAATTATGGTCCTCTGAGAACTCCAGCGAGCAACCACAGCTTCTGAGGTGAATGGCATTTGCCCTTTTCTTTCCAACCTTATACTAGACTATTATTGTTATTTATTATCTTTAAAGTCCCCATCTAATAATAATACCTGGGAAACAGATTGCTCCAGTCAGAAAACTGATTAGCCAGGATTTTTGAGGTTACTATATTTTGGATGCTCTTCTCCTTTGACAGCCTCTCCCCACAGCCCTCTTTGCAACACCAGCCTGCGCTTATAATTACACCAACGTCGCTTTTGATTTAAGGACTGTAATCCCTTGTCCTTGCTATAAACAACCTGCATTAAACACAGGAACTGCGTGTACCAAGAGAAAAATAAATAAAGAGCTACAGAAAGTCGTGTGAATCAACCCCACGAAGCCACGGCACCCGAGCCTACCTACGCAGAGCCGACCCTGGGATACAGAGCCTCACGTGCCGGCTCGCGCTGGGCCGGGGTAGAGCAGTACTGCTCAGGAATTGGGCTGTGCAGCTCAAGCAGATGAGCAGAGCATCCCCCACGCTTTCGCTACGGGGGTCGGAGACCGGGGGGTGACCCCGAGCAGTTTCCACGGAGTGCCCTTGAGGTTCTGGATGATACAGGATTTCTATGTAATGTTCAAGACATTCCGCCAACAAACCCTTGCTAATTCGCACTAATGACGAGGAGACCTGGTGCAAATTAATTGCTAATTGGCAAAATTCATTAAACGAACAAACACGATAAGAAACAACTGAAGATAAAGCCTCCCCAAACAGACTTGGTTCATCCTTGTGAGACCTCACCTGGAGTACTGCATCCAGCTGTGGAACCCACAACATCAGAGGGATATAGACGGGTTGGAGTGAGTCCAGAGGAGGCCACAAAGATGCTCAGAGGGCTGGAGCACCTCTGCTATGATGAAAGGCTGAGAGACTGTGCTGAAAGCTTTTGTTTGGTCCCTCACCAAAATACAAGGATTTTTAAGTTAATCGAGAGTTATTTGGGTATTTCACATGTGCCCTCCCTGACGCTGCACTTCATTTTAATTCAATTTTGGGACCTTTTCCTTAAATTCACCCATCCCCAACCCTAGACCATACGAATGTCCTAAACCCGTTAATCCTGAACACTCCGCACATCTGACCCGTGTCCGTACAGCTATAAGCCGCGGGTTTACGCACCAACACAGGTACTGGTGTTCAGCACTACAGTAGAGCTCCCCGACAGGGAAAACCACCTTCTTCAGCAGGCAGAACACTTTCTCATTAGGCTCTTTCTTCATGGATATCCTTATAGTACTGAATCGCTGAGCAGATTTCCGGGAAGGAGTGCTAAAGTTTCAGATGAATAATGTTTTCTGCATTTTCTGGCTTAAGACTGGGAAAGAAGGTCAACCTTCCCATGACTGCTCCACTCCACAGGAGTGCTGTGCTTTGTATTGGTAGCTAGATCTTGGAAAGGGACATTTTACCTTGACCCACAAGGCTTTTTCCATCTCACTTTCTCCTCCCTTCCACCCTGCCGAAGAGGGGACTGACAGAGCAGCTTGGTGGGCACCTGGCCCCCAGCC